TGAGTGACCAGGTTAAAGTTTTTGGAGCAGGTCCATTCCCAAGATGAGTTACCAGGTTAAAGTTTTTGGAGCAGGTCCATTCCCAGGTAACTATAAGCTCTACCCGGATCAAACTTGCATGGATAAAGCATCTAGGGATGGACACTACCAGACTTGCTTTGGATGCTGGATCTGACTTACATTTTCCAGATGAGTGACCAGGTTAAAGTTTTTGGAGCAGGTCCATTCCCAAGATGAGTTACCAGGTTAAAGTTTTTGGAGCAGGTCCATTCCCAGGTAACTATAAGCTCTACCCGGATCAAACTTGCAGGATGATGCATCTAGGGATGGACACTACCAGACTTGCTTCGGATGCTGGAACTGACCTACATTTTCCAGATGAGTGACCAGGTTAAAGTTTTTGGAGCAGGTCCATTCCCAAGAACTATAAGCCCTACCCTGACCAATCTTGCATGGATGATGCATCTGGGGATGGACACTACCAGACTTGCTTTGGATGCTGGATCTGACTTACATTTTCCAGATGAGTGACCAGGTTAAAGTTTTTGGAGCAGGTCCATTCCCAGGTAACTATAAGCTCTACCCGGATCAAACTTGCATGGATGATGCATCTAGGGATGGACACTACCAGACTTGCTTCGGATGCTGGAACTGACCTACATTTTCCAGATGAGTGACCAGGTTAAAGTTTTTGGAGCAGGTCCATTCCCAAGGAACTATAAGCCCTACCCAGACCAAACTTGCATGGATGATGCATCTAGGGATGGACACTACAAGACTTGCTTCGGATGCTGGATCTGACCTACATATTCATTCCCAAGTAACTATAAGACATACCCGAACTAAACTTGCATGGATGATGCATCTAGGGATGGACACTACAAGACTTGCTTCGGATGCTGGATCTGACCTACATTTTCATTCCCAAGTAGCTTTAAGACCTACCTGAACCAAACTTGCATGGATGATGCATCTAGGGATGGACACTATCAGACTTGCTTTGGATGCTGAATCTGACCTATATTTTCCATACAAGAGACCAGGTTAAAGTTTTGGGAACAGATTAATCCCAATGAACTTGAAGTCCTTGATATCTGCAGTATTAACAAATTTATGAATATTTGTTTACACTATACATGTTTTTCATGCTACATGCATAGAAATGTGTACCGTAATTTACGGAATATAGGTCGATACTTTTTTTCTCAGAACCGCTGGGGTCGCCCAATATACAGAATTCGACCTATTTAAGGCTCAAGTTTATGAAAAATGCCCCCTAATCAGTAAAATTTACGTCAATTTCAAAGCAAATTTGTGCCACTTTCGTAACTTTTTTGATTATTTTTCACAAAAAAATTAATGCCCCGGTAAACAATAAAATATTTATTCTATAGCTTTTTCACAAAATAAATTCCATTAATTATCCGTTGATGACAAAGGAAAACAACATTGCTTCATCTATTAAATAATTCCTCAACGTATAATCCATTAACATCATGCGGTGTCCTTTTGTGAAGTTAGGAAGTCGCGATCGTGTACTAAAAGTAAAACCGCAACCGTATCAAAATTTAAAATACGGAAATTTTTCACGATCACAACTGTAGTGTTTTTACTATTTATTAGTAGCAATAAATTGAAATAGTATATTAAATATTTTTTATTGTCTTATGTTTATTTAAATGTAAAGTGAGTGAAATAATTTGTTGCCATTCAATTCCTAAATTTAATTACCAAAAAAAAAAGACGCTAGTCATTACTGTGTTTTTTTTAATTTTAATTAATTGTAATACCGGTCAAACGAACTTATCTTGAATATACCGATACAAAGATTGGCTTCTAACAGAATTTTTAACTGACAGATAAAGGGATTTACACTGTGTACGCAAAGGTGTTATAACACCTGTGTATAGTTTAAATGCCTGCGGGGCATGATTAAGAAACCCACGTGCCATTATAGGGTATTAGTGTTCCACATCATTGAACAAACAAAGCCGTGAAATTCATGTTGACAGTCAAATTGTGAATGTACTCTCAATTAAATTTATAAATTAAACTATAGAGTGTTAATATGATTTCAATTCTTTACTGTTGCTTGATATATACATTCAATGGTCATTTGCGTGTTTTAGCAAATCCCTGGAGAAGAAAAATAAAAATGGCGGACATCGAAGTAATTGTCGTCCACCGGTAAATAATGTCTAAATAAAATTTATTAGGAATGTGTCCAAGTTGTTCTGTACGAAAGCCGGATAGGCTCATTTCTGAAAAGATAAAAAAATATTTAACTCGTTATAACGAGTTAATTATCTCGTTATAATGACTTAGTTATCTCGTTATAACGACTTAGTATCTCGTTATAACGACTTAGTATCTTGTTATAATGACTTAGTATCTCGTTATAACGAGTTAATTATCTCGTTATAACGAGTTAATTATGTCGTTATAATGACTTAGTTTTATCTCGTTATTAAGAATTACTTATCTCGTTATAACGAGTTAGTATCTCGTTATAACGAATTAATTATCTCGTCATAACGAGTTAATGATCTCGTTATAACGAGTTAGTTATCTCGTTATAACGAATTAATGATCTCGTTATAATGAATTAATGATCTCGTTATAACGACTTAGTTATCTCGTTATAACTAGTTAATTATCTCGTTTTAACGAGTTAGTTATCTCGTTATAACGAATTAGTTTTCTCGTTATAACGAGTTAGTTATCTCGTTATAACGAATTAGTTTTCTCGTTATAACGAGTTAATTATCTCGTTATAACGAAATAATAAGTTGCCCTTTTATTTCCAAATCAATAGCAATATAGGAATTAAAATGGCTGTAGTTTTAATGCCATTGAAGTTTAGTTGATAATTATCAGTCGTACTTAACTTTAAAATTGATAAAGAGATGCAAATATAATTTGCAATATGGTTTTAATAATATTAATCCTGTTCGAACTACAAGTATCTTGCCGTCAATATTCACAATTTGATAAAATTAGCAATCTTTTAATCGAACACATTTACACATTTATACGTGAACGTCTCTAAGTACACACTATTAAAAATATATGGCCAAATGTACTTGCTTCAAAGTTTTGCAATTTAAGTATAACAACGTTCTCCGATAAATCACACTATTTTTTTTATATATGTTTAACTTTTGGATGACCTTATAGCTTCCATAATCAATGTCTAATTTCTTAATTAATGCATTATAATGGCAAGCTAAGGCAGGCGTTAGTTACGCAACATATCTTATATACACTTACAGTGTGATATATATTATTTTTAGAGTCAGAAATGTTTTGAAAAAGGGGGGTATGGAGACATCAGCAATTAGGTCTTGGGCACGCGTAAAATTCGGGGGCTACTGTCCACTCATAACACAAAATCACGAGGCAGTCATAAGGTTCCGTATACACGTATTTGTCTTTGTTTTTTTTTTTTGAGTAAAACAATACAAATAAACTGCATCGTTTATAATTAAACGAACTACAATCACAGACACAACCCCTCGAAAAAAACAAAAACAAAACTAGTTTGCTTTTTTTCAATGAAATATTTATCATACACGCTTTAAACAAAGTTGATCGACTCGATTTTATATGCAATACTTCTTATTACTTACATATATCAACTTTAGAGTTTTTAACTCGTTATAACGAGAAAAATTAACTCGTTATAACGAGAAAATTTTCTCGTTATAACGAGTTAATTTTCTCGTTATAACGAGATAATTAACTCGTTATAACGAGATAACTAAGTCGTTATAACGAGATAATTAACTCGTTATAACGAGATAACTAACTCGTTATAACGAGATAACTAACTCGTTATAACGAGATAACTAACTCGTTATAACGAGATAATTAACTTGTTATAACGAGATACTAACTCGTTATAACGAGATAATTAACTCATTATAACGAGTTAATTTTTTTTTATCTTCTCAGAAATGAGCCTATCTGGCTTTCGTAGTTCTGAAATCGGAATTACTATTCTTTGGTCTCGAGTATTTCCCGAACTATAACTGTAAAGTAATAATGTATTTACGTTTTATTTATGCATCTGATTTAACAACAGTGTGAAACTACGGCGGCATTGAACAGGCAAGTTGGAGAAAAATAAGAAGTAACACAATTTAAAGAAGTTTTAACTACATTTTTTTAAAAAAAACTTTATTTAAATGCTATACTCATTAAAATACGTGTTTATTTTCTTGATACGTTCATGTCACGAATAACCCCGGTAATTTTAGGGGTTTACCTGTTCTGATACGTTGTTTCTGCGTAAGAATCTTTAGAAAATGGGAAACAAAGCCTCGTCCTATATAGTAAGTTCGTCCTATCTTAGGATTTTTCAAAAATTAAGGCTGAAAATGAGCCTTTCGACTTATATACCCCATCGACCTATAATCCCGAAATTACGGTATATGCCATGTAAGGGGTTAAACACAACTTGCAAGAATATTGTTGTTGGGATAAATACTAGATATTAAGAAAATATGATGTGAGCTTTGCATTACTTACACTGATAACATTCGTCGAGGTGAGATTCGTAATCTTTGATTACTTATGTTTTTAAAAAATGTTTTTGGACTGACTCATTAAATTGGGTGCTGACTAGTAAAAGTAAAGAAGCGCTAGTGCCAGGCTAAAGCCTAAAAATGTTAGTGTCAAACCCTTATTTTAACTCAATACAAAGCATGATATTAATCAAGTGTAAGAGGTTGATATCATTTTCAATGTTAGAATTCAATATTTCAATTAAGCATTCTCTGCTAGCTTTGTTAGATTTTTAATCCTTCATATTTTGAAAGATTCAGGAGGTTTGTTGAGAAAAAATGTGATACATGTATTGCCACTTTTCATTATAGTAGAAATGTTGAATTACACTTAACTTGACTTAAGCCATGTAAATACTGTAATAAATTTATACATACACAAGATTTATATTGATACAAGGACATGATTATACATGTATTTTTTTTTTTTTACAGAATAAGTACTTTGACTCAGGAGAATACAACATGACGAAGGCCAAGATGAGAGGATCTAAACTACCACCTGCTGCCCAGGAGAACATGATATTACAGGAACCCCCAGGGGATGCCATTCCAACCCCAGAGGCCATAGCTACAATTAGGAAACCATCACTTCAACAAAGCAAACTGGCAGAGCACTCATGAACAGATCCACAAATAATGATATTGTTTTGTTAGAAGATAGTGCTCTTTTCACCTTTCAAATGACAGGAAAAGGTGGCAGTCCCAACACCTCATTTTGAAAAAAAAAAAGGAAATACTTCACCAAAAAATTCAAAGCAAAATTGTTGAATTCAACAACACTTGGGTATTGGGGGGGGGGGGGGGGTTCTGATCTACAGTTTCAATGAACTAAATGGGAAAAGTATATTTTTAAATGTATTTTTCATTTCGTCTGTGATGTATACTTCATTTGGCCGAGTGTGTGTGTGTATGTGTGAAATTGTTCTTTCTGAATGTTCATTGTGTGACTACGTGTTTGATATCATTGATTATGTTTAATCAGCTATAGTTATATCTCCCTGGAATGTTGACACTTTTTCAGAATGATGTTTAAGCATTTCCATTGTTACACATAAATTATGTTTATTGTGTTATGTATGTAGTTCTTGGTAGATATTGGGAAGAAGTGGGGAGAATGTACATGGCAGTGCTTTGTTTTCCATATCACATCAGGATTATTTTATTCTATTTCCACATGTTATATTTTTTTCTGTAGTTTGGTCCTTATTGGATAGGGCAATTGCACTGTATATTTTCGCTTTTGACATACATTTTGCTTATGCAGCAATTTTTTAAATGATGTAGAAAGTAAAGTTCTGATTTATAAGGATATTCATATCTAAATTGAGTAGAATAACTGTGCAATAAAATATCTATTATAAGGAGAAGGGAATTGAATTGACCTACAGTTCTTAAAATTTTGCAAGTTCTTGTAAATTTGGAAAACTTCACATCATTAAACATTGATCCTTGAATGAATGTTGTGTTACTAGGTTTTTGGGTCATTTGCAATAAGAAAGGCTAAAACTATTCCAGTAGTGCGGATCTTATGATTTTGACAAGCCACATTGTTTGGGAGTACTAGCAGTGTATTACAGACTGTATATAGATATTTACGTTCTTTTTAAATATGATCACCTCACTCCTTTATTGTTATAGATTTGTTTAAATATCAAGAATAAATCATAGTTATGTAATAAATGATGTGTTATTTTTTTTTATCAGCTCACTTGTTTTGTTAAAATTGTTTCATCTTTGTTGTAAAGTAGCCAGCTTTCCTTTCAGAATCTGTACTCTAGAATAGGTTTCCCCCTAAGGGTAAATCTCATAATAAATCTCATAATAGAGCAGAATTTCATACTTACAAGAACATGAGTTTCAATAAGAATAACACTGCTTTTGTGGGCTGCAGCATATGCACATTAATGTCCACTTCAATTGACCCCAATGGATTTGAATTTAAAAGCAGAGAGGAAATACCTTCTCAAAGGTTTTACAAAATTTCAATTTTTTGAGGTTATTAGTGACACATTTTAGTTTCAAGACAATGGCAGCTTTAAACACCAGAAACTTGGCGAAATCAAAATAATGTACATGTTTGAAATATAATTGGAGAGGGGACTTGATGAAAATTCGTACAGTTTTAAAATCTATCAAACTGATAACATTGTACTGTATTTTTTTTTTTAGAGTCCAATTTGACCAGATAAAAAACAAAAGATCTGAAAATTTTTCACATTTCCTATCTTTAAGGGAAACTGGTCTCCATTGTGAAAAAGGGACACTTGGAACAGTGTTTAGTCCCCCATTGTACACAAGCAGACCCATGATAATTAAATTTTTTGTTAAGGGAGGGCTTATGAGGAAATCGCATTCTATACATATAATGCAGAGTATAACATCCCCCCACCCGGAAAATTGAAGCTGATGTGGGGTTTTTGTAAGGAAATTCCTACTCTTAGAGTTAGTTCTCTGTGGGGGTTCCTACTCTAGTCGTTTTACTGTGAGGAAATCCTATTCTGGAGTCAGTTTTCTGGGGGTGTAATTTTCTTAGAACAAGTTTTCCAGGGATGTCATACTGTTAGATCCAATTTTCCAGGGATGTCATACTCTTGGAGCAATTTTTCCGTGAGTGTCATACTCTTGGAGCCAATTTTCCAGGACTGTCATACTCGTAGAGCCAATTTTCCGGGAGTATCACACTCTTAGTGTCATTTTTAGGAAGTGTCATACTATAAGAGCCAATTTCCCAGGAGTGTCATGCTATTAAAGCCAGCTTTTCGGGGGTGTCACACTTTTAGAGCCAGTTTTCCAGGAGTGTCATACTCTTAGAGCCAGTTTTCTGGAAGTGTCACACTATGAGAGCCAGTTTTCCTGGAGTGTCACACTCTGACTCTTACAGCCAGTTTTCCGGAGGTGTCATACTCCTAGAGCCAGTTTTCCTGGAGTGTCACACTCTTACAGCCAGTTTTCCGGGGATATCATACTCTTAGAGCCAGTTTTCCGGGGATGTCACACTCTTTGAGTCATTTTTTCGGGGATTTCATACTCTTAGAGCCAGTTTTCCGGGACTGTCACACTATAAGAGCCAATTTTCGGGAGTGTCACACTATTACAGCCAGTTTTCCGGGGGCGTCATACTCTTAGAGCCAGTTTTCCTGGAGTGTCACACTCTTAGAGCCAGTTTTCCGGGGGTGTCATACTCTTAGAGCCAGTTTTCCTGGAGTGTCACACTCTTAGAGCCAGTTTTCCGGGGATGTCATACTCTTAGAGCCAGTTTTCCGGGGGCGTCATACTCTTAGAGCCAGTTTTCCTGGAGTGTCACACTCTGACTCTTACAGCCAGTTTTCCGGAGGTGTCATACTCCTAGAGCCAGTTTTCCTGGAGTGTCACACTCTTACAGCCAGTTTTCCGGGGATGTCATACTCTTAGAGCCAGTTTTCCGGGGATGTCACACTCTTTGAGTCATTTTTTCGGGGATTTCATACTCTTAGAGCCAGTTTTCCGGGACTGTCACACTATAAGAGCCAATTTTCGGGAGTGTCACACTATTACAGCCAGTTTTCCGGGGCCGTCATACTCTTAGAGCCAGTTTTCCTGGAGTGTCACACTCTAAGAGCCAGTTTTCCGGGGGTGTCATACTCTTAGAGCCAGTTTTCCTGGAGTGTCACACTCTTACAGCCAGTTTTCCGGGGATGTCATACTCTTAGAGCCAGTTTTCCGGGGGCATCATACTCTTAGAGCCAGTTTTCCTGGACTGTCACACTCATACAGCCAGTTTTCCGGGGTTGTCACACTCTTAGACCCAGTTTTCCGGGGGCGTCATACTCTTAGAGCCAGTTTTCCTGGAGTGTCACACTCTGACTCTTACAGCCAGTTTTCCGGAGGTGTCATACTCCTAGAGCCAGTTTTCCTGGAGTGTCACACTCTTACGGCCAGTTTTCCGGGGATGTCATACTCTTAGAGCCAGTTTCCCAGGGATGTCTCACTCTTTGAGTCATTTTTTCGGGGATTTCATACTCTTAGAGCCAGTTTTCCGGGACTGTCACACTATAAGAGCCAATTTTCGGGAGTGCCACACTATTACAGCCAGTTTTCCGGGGGCGTCATACTCTTAGAGCCAGTTTTCCTGGAGTGTCACACTCTTACAGCCAGTTTTCCGGGGTTGTCACACTCTTAGAGCCAGTTTTCCGGGGGCGTCATACTCCTAGAGCCAGTTTTCCTGGAGTGTCACACTCTTACAGCCAGTTTGCCGGGGATGTCATACTCTTAGAGCCAGTTTTCCGGGGATGTCACACTCTTTGAGTCATTTTTCCGGGGATTTCATACTCTTAGAGCCAGTTTTCTGGGAGTGTCACACTTTAAGAGCCAATTTTCGGGAGTGTCACACTATTACAGCCAGTTTTCCGCGGGCGTCATACTCTTAGAGCCAGTTTTTCTGGAGTGTCAAACTCTTAGAGCCAGTTTTCCGGGAGAGTCATACTCTCAGAGCCAGTTTTCTGTGGGACACACTCTTAAAGCCAATTTTCGGGAGTGTCACACTCTTACAGCCAGTTTTCCGGAGTTATCACACAATAAGAGCCAGTTTCTGGGTGTGTCACACTTTAAGAGCCAGTTTTCCGGAAGTGTCACATTTTTATAACCAGCTAGTTTTCCGGGGGTGTCAAACTCGTAGAGCTGGCCAGTTTTCTTGGAGTGTCAGACACTTATAATTACAGCAGTTTTCCGGAAGTGTCACATCCTTATAGCCAGCTAGTTTTCCGGGGGTGTCAAACTCTTAGAGCCAGTTTTCCAGGGGTGTCATACTCTTAGAGCCAGTTTTCCGGGGGCGTCATACTCTTAGAGCCAGTTTTCCTGGAGTGTCACACTCTTATAGCCAGTTTTCCGGGGGTGTCATACTCTTAGAGCCAGTTTTCCTGGAGTGTCACACTCTTAGAGCCAGTTTTCCGGGGGCGTCATACTCTTAGAGCCAGTTTTCCTGGGGTGTCACACACTCTTAGAGCCAGTTTTCCGGAGGTGTCATACTCCTAGAGCCAGTTTTCCTGGAGTGTCACACTCTTAAAGCCAGTTTTCCGGTGATGTCATACTCTTAGAGCCAGTTTTCCGGGGATGTCTCACTCTTTGAGTCATTTTTTCGGGGATTTCATACTTTTAGAGCCAGTTTTCTGGGAGTGTCACACTTTAAGAGCCAATTTTCGGGAGTGTCACACTATTACAGCCAGTTTTCCGGGGGCGTCATACTCTTAGAGCCAGTTTTTCTGGAGTGTCAAACTCTTAGAGCCAGTTTTCCGGGAGAGTCATACTCTCAGAGCCAGTTTTCTGTGGGACACACTCTTAAAGCCAATTTTCGGGAGTGTCACACTCTTACAGCCAGTTTTCCGGAGTTATCACACAATAAGAGCCAGTTTCTGGGTGTGTCACACTTTAAGAGCCAGTTTTCCGGAAGTGTCACATTTTTATAACAAGCTAGTTTTCCGGGGGTGTCAAACTCGTAGAGCTGGCCAGTTTTCTTGGAGTGTCAGACACTTATAATTACAGCAGTTTTCCGGAAGTGTCACATCCTTATAGCCAGCTAGTTTTCCGGGGGTGTCAAACTCTTAGAGCCAGTTTTCCGGGGGTGTCATACTCTTAGAGCCAGTTTTCCGAGAGGAATTAAAGGGAAAGCTTATAAATCCACTACAAGACAGCTGTTTTAGAGTAGAATTTCCCCCAAAGCCAGCTTCCCACGGAACCTGAACTATAGAGTAGGACTATAAGATTTCCGCTAAGGGGAAGTCGATTCTTAAATGAACCATAACATAACCTATCTCTTATTCATGTAGACGAACTATCTTTAATTCAATTGTATATATACCTATCTTTAATTCAATTCTACCTTTTCCCACTCTTTGAAAATCAGGTAGAAAAAGGAAAGATTTTATGTGGGAATAGGTGGAATTTCTGTGTAAACAAATAATTAACTATGAAAACATATAATTACTGTACAAACAATTATTAATAAACACCTATTGGAATAGAGGACAGGTATATTTGCTTTATTAAATTATAAATCAGATTTTTACTAATATTTGAAAGAAAAAATGGATTTTTAATAGAATTAGATTATATTTTTTCTCTGTTTATATATTCATTCTAAAATCCACCTATTTGAATGCTTTTTTTTTTCAATAAATCTATTTATATTTTATCTTCTTAAATTAATATTAAGTTGCATGCTTTTTCTTTAAAACCTTTTAATTATTACAAAAATCCGAAATAAATCATATTTTCTCAAAGATATATATATTCAACATTTTCTGTCTTAAAATGTACAAAATTCAGGTAAATCTAAAGAGCAGATGTAATTAGTCTAGTTACTGTAAAAACAAAGTAACTATCTAAACATCTATTGTTATTTGCAAGTGGGAATAGGTGGAATTGAGATTTTTTAAAAGTGAGAATAGGTAGAAGACACCGGTACAAATATTCGAATATATGTTAATTTGGCATTAGGTCAAGGGGTCAGAAATCTTAGCTAGCTTGCTCACATGTAATACACATGTCAAATATTAAAGCCCTATCTCTTTTCTATCAAATATTATAAGGAATAAATGACGTTTCTGGAAAAAAAAAAAAAAAAAGGTCAAAAGTAAGGCCACGGGGTCATAAATCATAATGTATTTAGATAGGTCTTGTCACAGGTAATATACATGCCAAAGCCC